AAAAAAAAAAAAAAAAAAAAAGCCCTGAAAAGGCTTTATATACAGACTGCCAAGGGCTGGGGATTTAACTCAGTGGTTCTGCCGCCTGCCTCTCAAGTGCAAGGTTCCGAGTTTGATCACTGGTACAAACAACAACAACAAAAAAAGTCTGCCAGAAAAATGCAGACATGAAAAGAAAAATAGTATGGGTTGGACTTGGTGGTACATGCCTGTTATCTCAGCACTTGGGAGGCTGAGAATCACTAAGAGTTCAAGGCTAGCCTCAGCTCCATAATGAGTTCAAGGCCAGTCTAAAACTACATAGTGAGACCCTGTCTCAAAAAAACAAAACGATTTTTTTTTTCAACAGATGGTGTTAACTTCATATGGAGGACTCTAGAGGCTGTTATATATAACAGAATACCCACTATACTGCTGGCCCTCAGAGAAGTTGAGAATGCATGTGCAGCCATCTCAATGACCAAGGTTACCAAGTAGCAGTTTGACATACTCATGAATGTCTGGAATCTAATGGCTACCGTTTTAAGCACCTCTTGTTACTGTAGAGGCTAATGGTAACCTATATTAACCTCATGATGTTTCAACAAATTTAGCATTAAAAAATTTATAGTAGCACTCTGGAGGCTGAGGCAGGAGGAATGATGTGAGTTCGAGACCAGCCTGGCTACAAAGTGAGTTATAGGTCAGTCTCAACTAGTGAGACCCTGTCTCAAAAAAAAAAAAAAAAAAAAAAGTATGCACACACACACACATACACACACACACACACACACACACACACACACACGTTTTTCTTGAAGTATATATGTTTTTGGAGACAGACCCTATATATACATTGGTAGTTAATGTATTCATTCAGTTGTTTGTTTTTTCATTAGGCTAATGAATCTTATTTTCATTCTATCCACTTGATCATGTAATTATACCTTTAAATTCTACACAGGGCTAGGGATTTAACAGTAGTGCTGCACCTGCCTCACAAGCACAGGTCATGAGTTTAACCCCTCGTACCAAGAGAAAAAAACCCCATCACATTATAAAGAAAAAATTCTACACATGGAATTATGCCTTTATTTAAGAGTCCTTATCTTTTGAAATGAAATTATTAATAACCCATACAGAAGTGAATTTTTCCATAACGAAGGTTTAAAATTCAAATGTAAAAATCAATTTCTCTACTTACCATCTAGTAATTCTAGAGTAACTGTGGGATCTACATATTCCCACCAATGCTTTCCATCAGTTGACACAGGAATCTCCCAATTGGACCACTTGCAAGCCAAATGAATGCACACACAAGCTATCACTGTTGGTTTGTACTGAAGACAGAAGGTTGTAAGATGCAGACTGTTGTAGAGCAGGTTTGAAATGGAGGACCATGAAATTCAAATATGTAAAACAAAGAAAAAAATTTATCAGTAAGATTAAAGAAAAAAATACAAATTTTAGGTTTTCTTAATCTTATTAAAAGCTAACAGTAACAAAAATTCTAATATGAAAAAAGCCTATGTAGATTATAAAAATATTCTCCCTTACCCTTATGATGTATTAATACCCTACTATAACTAATATATTAGCATTTAAGAAATTTGTTTTTATATCTAAATTCAGAGTATTTTATAAAAAGAGGGGAAGATAGAATTGCAATAATTACTAATCACCAATAGAATTTTAAACTTTTTTGGACACTTTTTTTTTGTAATGTCACGGCAAAAATGTAATTAAAAAAGATTATTTGTATAACAATAATTTCAATGTCACATCACAATCAAGGATTATAACCATTTGATGTGGCATAGATAAAATTCTTTAGCAAATCAAAGAAAATTTATCTTTCTTATCTATGTAAATTTCTGTATTCTTTTCATCAAAGTCCCACAGGGAACTTACCTTCTGAAAAACAATTTCATGGCCCATTATTGCTACTTCTACTACTACTACTACTACCAAAAAAAAAAAAAAAAAAAAAAAAAAAAGCTAACATCCTCCTCCTACTATACACTAAAAATCTGGCAGTTAACACATCATAGAAGGGCTATCCTTTCTAACTGAAGTTTTAAATTTAAATCTTCCTCCCCTTAGAATTTCTAGGGGAGAGGTTAAATTCCAGCATATGTCTCACAAAATATAATGGCACCCGCCAATCCAAAATTTTAAATAAAACTTAGCAGTGTCAGAAGAAATTAAAGACCACACAAGGCTGGTTTGGTCCCTCTTCCCAACAGCCCACTTAAAAAACAAATTTAAATCTTTAATATCAACCTAAAATAGAATTAATTATTAGATATTGAAAGTTCCTTAAAATCACCCTCCCAGTTTAGTTTCAGAATTGATGAAATGTTTACTGATCATCCACAAACAGTTAACATTTTTGGCTTTATATAAACTGAATAGGAAGTTTTTTATAGAAGTAAAAATTGTATTTATGCAAACCCAGGCACTGAAAGACTTGACTACTTCTAATTTATTGTTTGTATTAACTGGAACACCCCCAAGTTATATAAATTTATTAAAAAACTTTAATGACTATTTATATTGGATCAATGTGAAATTTTAAAAAAACTGTCATTTAACTATAATTGTAAACTAGAAATAGCTTTATACTTACCAAGTTGCTCGAGTTTCTACGTTAAGTTTAGCTCTTTGTAATCTTTAGCTGCTATTCAGGCTACCAATTTTAGACTTATGCACTCACAAATCGAGAATATGTCATCAGAAAGCACCACTACACTTCACATTGTGCATTTAACCCCTCTGTGCCCAAAGTCCCTTGTACAATACACCGCAAAGCAAACAGGAAGGTACCACCACAGTAGATGGTCCAGTCTCCTGTTGCAACAAGGGTAAGAGACACATTGAGGGGGCCCTGCATTAAAGGAAGCTATAGTGTGCTACAACAGTGCAACAAAGAGGGTCAGGATAACAACCTGTTGGTAGCCATGAAATAGGATGTCTGTGCCAAATCCTTGCTTGCTGTAAGAAAAGAAGAAAAAAACAAAACAAAAAACAAAACAAAACAAAAAAACGAAGACAAAACTATCAGCATTAACATGTTACGATCAAAAAGTTCTCAACACAACAAAACTTCAAAGATTTGTACACAAAAAGTAAATTTTACTTACTACTTACAAATATCACAAGAGCGCCATCATTTTCTATACTACTGAAAATCTTCAACAACATTCACTCAAATGTTTCTTGCTATCCCCCAAAGATCTGAGAAACAAGCCGATTTGCTTTTAGCTAGCCAGTTACAAGGGCTAAACTTGTTACTAAGTTAAGCATCTAGTCAGCTAAAAGTTGAAATAAAGCATTCTCCTGGATTTAAAAAAAAAAAAAAAAAAAAAAAAAAGAAGAAGAAGAAAAGATTTTTGAAGTCTAATACAAAATACAGAGTTGCCTGCCAGATTTAATCCTCAGTCATATTTTAGTTGGCTTAAATAATTCCATCAAATAAAACAAGCCCCCATCCTCCCAAATTCAAGCGAGCACAATCTGCTCAGTCTTTCATCATGCTTTTCAACAGAATAAACCACCTAGAAACATCATAAGGCTGTAGATATAAGAAGCTTCACTGTATTATTTTAAAAGAAAATTTATAAAATCCAATTAAAGATAACACTTAGAAAAGATACGAATCTTCAAGTGTGAGTCAGGATGCTTCAACATTGGTCCCCAACAAAAAAACAATTTTTAACTGGCCTTTTAAGGTACTGAAAATAGTTGCTCCTCCCTTTTTCTGTTTGGTATTCTTTTCCAAAAAGAATATTCTTGCTATAGTTTCATTTTTATCCCCAATTATATGCAAAACCACTGCTCTTCTGCTAGGATTAGTTCATCTCAATGCCACCCCTCTCTAACAGGGCTCAAAAAATCCCCCCTTTTTTCATGGCACCTGTAATCCCTGCTGCCCCATGTGGATCATCAACATAAGGGTTTTACAAAAGGGATTTGGGTTTGGCAGAGTTGTGCTAAGGAAGAGTGTCAAAGCATCAGATGTCTTGGAGGCAGTGTGACTTAAGTATGGCATTCTTTCCTGGTGGGGGAGGAAGGAGAAATCACAGAAGTGAAAGGTCCCTGGAAAATGACAATAGCCAATTTTGTACCAAAGTAGCATAATATCAACTTTCTCATGGGGGGGGTTGTAGAAATTAAATATATTTACCCCTCCCCCAAAGTAATAAAAATATATAAAAAGGAAAAATCATTTTAAATTGCTATAGCAGTTTTCACCTGGGAATGTATCTAAATTCAATAGTCTACAGTCACTGTTAAGAATGGAGGGGAAATGTTCTTTGTTAGTTGAAAGTGGTAACAGAGCAAAGAAAAACAGACACCAAACATGAAAGAATATTTTTTAAATGGAATGAGAGATTAACTATAATTACTTGAAATGTTAGTCAGACAAAATGAAATTAAACATATATGGGCTGCACTCAAAATTTAAGCATGTCACATTTTAAACATTAGTAATAAAATCAGATTTAAATGCTAAGTATGATGTATCAAATTGGTAATTTTGTGAAATAATTTAAAATCTAGTTTTGTTTCTTACTAAACTAATATGTAAGTGATTTTAAAAAGCATACACTAATATCTTCCTTTATCTAATATCTTTTTTTCATTAGGTTCTCAACTCAGAGCAAATTATATAGTTCTCTCTCTCTTTTTTTTACAAAGCTTAGCTGGCCCTTTGAAATTTTCAGGAAAACAAAGCTATATTTTTTTTAATTCATCATTTATAACTAGTTATACAATGCTGTACTTATATTGTAACAAAGGGGGCGAGAATGTGCTATAAAATATATTTCTATAATAACAGAAATCAGGGCCTGGAATTTAGCTCAGTGGTGCGGCCGCCTGTCTGGCAAGCACAAGGTCCTGAGTTCGATTTCTGTACCCACCAAAACAACAACAAAAAAGGAAAACCATAATTAAATATTTTCCAGTGTGTAAAGTGATCTAGTTGTAATATGTGCTATGATAAAAATGCAAATGAGGGCCAGGGATTTAGCTCAGTGGTTCCACTGCCTGCCTTGCAAACAAAAGGACCTGAGTTTGATCCCCAGTACAAAAAAAAAAAAAAAAAAAAAAAAAAAAAAAA